AGTTCCATAAACTTTCCTTTTAGGTAATAATCCGCTATAATTTCTCTAGCTACGGTTATATATTCCAGCCTCTTGTTGCGCCCGATCCATCTTCTCTTCAGATATTTATTCCAAATCTCCTCATTAGAAGGCTCCATCCTCCCATTGATGACAGAAAAAACATAAAATGTCTAGCTTTGCAAACTGAGTCGTTATAAGAAGTTGGATGGCTATCTAGTCTGTGGGTTGGTTCAGACAGGAACATTCTGGGAAATAACGATATCCATTTACACGAAAGCCATTAAGATATCTGCTCTACATCACAGTGACAGCTACTGGGCCGGGTTTTTTGTTACTGGATTATATCAACAAATCAGTCCAAGTTAAAGGTAACTGGCCTCCTCAAAACACATCATGGCTGGATAAACTAGAGTTTACTTTCTTCTCTCTACCCGAGAACTACACCCTGTATCAGGTTTACAAAAAATAAAAAAACCTTGTTCATTTATTGCATTAGTTTTTTTCAACAATGCACCCAAAATTTCATGGAGTTATGGTAAATTATTCTTACTTTATTGCAGATTAATGAATCTAACTCAAGATTTTACTTTGTTGAAATCATGTAACTGGCGCCAGCAATTCTCTTCCATTCTAAAATGCGATGACATCGTAAAAATTGATATTTTGTTATGTTATCATTTTATGACATTTTGTGCTATTTTAGTTGACTTTTCAATGTTATGCTACTGTATCATCCAAGAATCAACTCATGTCATACTCTACACTATTCCAAGAAGTACAGAATAGGCAATATCAAAAAGCAACATTTTATTTTACAACGAATTTTTTTGGCCTCGACAGATTTTTTTATATTTAAACAAAATGTAATTTTTTTTATTCTACTCTTGTTAATTTTTACATGGCAACTGTAATATCTCAAAAACAGAGGTTTGAACTTCAAAATAAAGTTGTCTATACTTTAAACCTGTGTTTCAGAGTCCAATGAAAATTTTTTTGCTGTAAAATAAAAAATTGGATCGAATGTCTCGGTCTTAAACCACTGTCGAAAAATTAACTGCTATCAGCTGGGGAAATGAGTCGTATGTCGCAGCAAATTCAATTAAAGAACTTTGTGATGGTTGATTCAACCGGCTGGTGTTTTTTTTTTTTTTTTCAGGTTTATTGCGTGTTTGTCTCCAGTTTGGCTATTACTTGTGGTGTTGTTTGACGTCATCTTAAAATGTGCTATCAAGAATGCATAGCAGGCTTTAATTCCACGCCAACTTGAATAATGGCCTGGGAAATCCACAACGTCGTTTTAAGGACTTCACATACGAAACAGTATAAAGCCGTGTGGCAGAAACTATCATTGAATATCTTAGATAAATCCCCACCGTCTCATTGGTGGACTGTTGATCACGTGTCAGTGAATCATTCTTTCTATACAATGGCACCCGTTGAAAAACACTTTTTTTTCACTTGACTGGTTCCTGCCCTTATTTCATAATTATATCTCATTCCCAATAACAAAGAGGGCAACACATTGGGGACCACAACCTGTCTAAAGCCTGGTTTCCATATAGTCATAACGAAAGCCGACGGCGCGCAAGACGTCAAGACGTAGCCAGTCGTGGAAGAGACGCTGCACGACGTCATTCCACCAAAAAAAATGAAACAAAATGGCGTCTGAAACACGGAACTATCCGGAAAAATACCTTTTTTAGGTGGCAATGTCGCCCCTTGAAGCTAAACTGATACTCCAGTTTGATGTAATTTGTTAAAAATGGTCAGCTACGCGAGAGGAACATTGTTGTACGCCCGTCATGCCAGCGTGCGTGTTTGTACAGGCCGACTCAGCGACACAACGCAGTTGGCGAAGTTGAACCGGGCTCAACTTGGCCGAGCCGTCGAGGGTTAGTTTCCGCATAACTGGGTTATCGGCGATACTTTCGTTTGACAGCTTATAGCCCGGTTTCCACATGGTCGTTTGTAACGTAGATGGAATGCAAGAAGTGAAAATGCAGACATGATCGGAAGAAACGGTGCATGACATCATTCCACCCAAAAACTGAAACAAAATGGCGTCCGAAACTCAGTGATTTTTCGCGAAAAATGTGCTTTTAGATGGACTGCACCGCCTCAAACGTCTGCTCCAGTTTCATGCATTACAATGATGGTCAGCTATTCAGTTGATCACTAGGGTGTAATATTTAAGCAATTAGGCGAAAACGGGCAAAATTTGTGGAACTAAGCGAGAGAGACATCGTTGCACGCCGGTCATGCCAGCATGCATGTTTGTACGGCTACTCGACGCAAACAGTCGGCTCAACTTGGCTCTACTTTGGCAATCGTTCGCAGGCTGGTTTGCGTTTGTCTGCGTTGTCTGCGACACCTCCGTTTGGTATGTTTCCATACGTCCGCGTTGCAGTTTGCGTCTTAATTGCGTTACTCTCTGCGTTTCTTACGTCGATATGGAAGCCAGACTTTACTCTTCTAACAAAAGAGGATATTGTATAAAACAAACTAATGAATGTTTCACATTCGTGTCATTCGGTGACCGAATACCACTGCGTGGCATATGCCACCCGGCCACCCGATGAAACTGTTCTTATCACTAGTCTGCAGTCATAAACAGTCATTATTGGTATAGTGTATTACATACAAGTCAGTGTTACCAAGCTCAAGTTAGGCACTGCAAAACAGAAGTCACTGTGTTAAACTGGTGTTAACTTAACACCCTTAGTTTTCTTATATAGGACAACCCGGACTTGTGTTATTCAGTATGGTACCGAGTTTTAGCACAGTGTATTTTTGTTGGCTTGTCTTTGACCCTCAAAGCGTTAAGGGCTGATTCTCCTACTTCCCCAATCCGAACATTTCTCTCATACTTTCGAAAAACTTTCTTGTGGCGCTGAGTTTGTAGGGTTTTCCCACTGATATCTTGCATTCACCAAATCTGCCCCCAATTTTGTGCAACTTGGACATGGAAAAAATGGCCGTTTTTCCAAGACAGACAGGCCCCAAAAATGCTCGATTTTAACAAGTACTGAGAGCATGGGCTATGAGATTGATGATAACAAGACCGATCATCGATCTTAATTGAAACTTCAATATACGCATAACGGATGTTTTACAAGCATACCAAACTGCTTTAAAACAGTTTATCGCAAGATGGCCTGTCACTTTGGTGCAAAAGGTTCCACACCATCGGCCCTTTAAAGGATTTCAACTTTCGACGGTGATTTTTTAAGGCGGCAGACTGCGGCTAGAATTTTACGGAAATGTTCACACGGAACCCTGAGAGCGCGATTTTTTCTAAGTTTTTTGTTAGCCATTTGCCACTCCTTTCCGCTAGCTAGCCACTCGTTTGGATAACGGTGTGATTTACGTCTTCTGGAAGGCCGAGGTTTTTTCTGTTTGGAGATTTACGTCGCTTGCACACGACTTTTGCCTCTCTGATTAGCTCTGGGAGACATTGTTGATGCTTGTGGCAAGTGAATGGGATTCTGTTTCCTTTCTACAATCGATAAACCCTTAAAATAATGACGTCACGCTTTATTTACATGTACGCGCTTTCTTTTATCGGCGAAATGAATCTGACCCATCGAGACCGAATAGGAAAGCGCACATTGTTTCATATTAATTTAATTTTCCATCCCTATTTCAAAACAGTTCTCAGTTTAAAGCTGAATTGCTTGTCTATTACACGTGATTCAAAATAAGTAGAAGTAATAATTACAACTAAAAATTGTATAAAGCTCCCAAGGAATACAAACAAAAAACAAGTAAACTTAACTTAAACTAACAAACCCTTTGAATATAAATAACACTCTGTAGAACGCAAAATCTTCCATAAAGATATTATTAAGTACAACTTTAATACGAGATCTAATTAAAGACTTCGTGAAAATGAGGGGTTGCATTATTTCTATTTGGCTTCGTGATGGAGAATCTGGTATTTATTGGATTTCTGCTTTCATTTTGGGAGACGGTGCAATTGTTGAGTTGAAATCATTCTGCATCTGTCTGATCTTGTGCATTTATCAACAGATTTGGAGCACAGAAAAAAGTGAAGCCTTCTATCATGCTCAGTTAGAAGGCCTAACCGTTCACAAGAATCGTTGAGAGTGCTGTCCATAATAATGCAGCCGTTTCAAAAAATATTGAACTCCGTTTTTAAATTTTAAAATCGTCTGGCACATGTCAACAAAGCGTGACGTCATTATATTTTCGGTCTATTCCCCTTAGACAAAACAAGTGGCGATAGTAGTTTGACTGAAATAACGATCATATATCCGTTCCCGTCGTCAGTATTTATGGAGAAAGTGTCAATTAAAACTCTCTTATGACAAAGAATGTTTAGGCTGTGCGTATCTTCCGGAGCTTCCAATACCAGCGATTCACAATAGTGCGCCTCTAAGAGTTTGCAAGGCGTTGACCCATCACAATGCCCGAAATCTGTCGACCCAGTCCGCGTATGGAAAGGGTCGACAGATTTCGTGCGTTGTGATGGGTCAACGCGTTGCACACTCTTGGAGGCGCACAACTGTGAATCGTGCGTATTGACTTGGGCCGTTTTCCAATACTCATCTCCGGTTCCGTATCAGGCTTCAGCTTTTTTTTTACTAGCTGATTTTGAAGCTGTAAGTGCAGTAATCAGTCTAATAGTGCCACAGAACATCAAATAAGATGTAAGAAAGCCAAAAAGTACAGTAATCCAATGTAATGTAAACGCTTCAGGCCCACAATTGGGGATTGGTTTTGGGAACGAAGCCTGAGACGGAGACAAGGTCGAGTATTGGAAAACGGCCCAGGTCCCTGTCCTACATCACTGACACATTTGATTTTTTGACGAGATTGGAGTTGGTGTCATCGTCTCAAGCATTAAATGGTCAGATCCACCCTATAAACATTGGGTATAAAATGTGTACATAATCATGCGCGTTCAAACAAAGATGATTTCGGACATTTATCCACCAGGACACCACTACAAATATGACAAAAGGGATGTTGAAACTTACCTATTCTCGATGCTCTCTACTTCAGTGCTCGCTTACAGGAATGTCCATATTCCCCAAAGATAAGCCTGAAATGTATTAGATATGAGGGGAAAGGGTGGAAATTAATGTTTTCCTACTAGATGACGTGCACACTGTTGCGTACGTGTCTGTGGACAGTTTCTCCTGATGACACAAAATGTATGCTTCGTGTGGCACGTTTCACCCATCAGTCATCTCTCTCGAATTAGGCTGACGGCTTCGTGTTATCTCGAGCGGCTTCAGTCCAATGACTATTCCATCTTCCGTTTACCCGTCCCTGACAGCGGCTACCTATATGTCGGTTAATGATGAGCTTAAGGAAATTCTGTCCTCTCGGCAAATGTCGCAAACAAATCCCTGTACACACAGGCAATGTTAGGCCGGGGCGATTGAAGCTTTAGCCGGGTCGGCTCGGTGACTGAGAAAACTTTCAGCGCGCCAGGACAGACCCGTTATTAGACAGCGCACATCTGGACGGAGAGCGTTCGCTAACTGATGATGCCGTCGTCCCGGTAATCATGTTGTCCGTACACTGGGGATACGTGGCTTATTATGACGCCGCCCCATGCAGCGTAAGCTTACCAATTTGATGGAGTTCGAGGTGAGGATTCATGGTTTCTGTCATATTTCCCGAAGCGCCGGATGGTTGTGTCATAACAGGGGCTTAAATTCAATTGGACAACACGGATGAGGAAGAGACCGCCGTTCCATTTAATAAACGGAGGATCAGTTTCCGTGTTCATTCTCTCGGTCCAGATCCTTTAACTGAAACCAGCAAATGAACGTACCTAGGAATTCTACAAATCATCTCTCGCAAATGTCGTGCTATATATGCTGCGCTTTATTTTGTGCAATGGAGAAATACTACGCTTCTTTATGAGATAGATGTTTGCTGTAAACTAATTTTTAAACACTAAAAAGCACATTTTGAGCATACGGACTGAAGGTTCATGCATCAATTAGCAACTTTACATAATGAGCTTATATTTCGTTAGCAGAGTGCATGTAAAAACACGCAGCAGCCCAGTAGCGCATTGATTATTCAATTTAAATTAAATACTGTTCTTAATTTTGTGCTATGTGTGTTTCTAGGCTTATATCAACCACGAACGTTACTGTTATTTCTGCACAAACACTTGCCACAATTTTGGGATTTTTTTTCCTGACTTGGAGTTTCTGTTCTTGGTGATTCGTTGAGTTCATAGCAGTATGCCAGTGATCAAAGCTCTCGTAAACATTCTTTAGTTTAAAAAGAAACTCCTTAAATTACAAGGTGTTTTTCTTCGATGATGTCACCGCAACCACGGCCTCATTTGCCGGGAAAAACAAAGACAATTGTAAATGTTGAAAGAAACGCCAAAGAGTGCTCGTAAGAGGAAGGGGAAAGCTACGAAACAAAATAATGTAAAAATGTATGCCATGGGCTTTTTAAAATGTCCCCAATTCCATTGCGCGCGAGGAGTGACAAACTATATATCAAGAGGCAAGGTCATGAAAAATCCTTACATATGGCTCGTTATTAGAAAGGGAATTACTCACCAGTAAGTCCACTCGTATGATTTGAAGTGGCCTCGTGTGCTCGTTTGCAGAACATACCCGAATAATGACGAATGTATTAAGAACAGTAAGCTCCTGAATGGAACATAAGAGAAAAACAAACACGGGCAATTAAATTCTAATAGAAAAGGCACAAAAAGGTAACCTGCAGCCTACCATGACGCACGGCGAAATCAAACGTCCATGTATTAGCTGGGCATTTGGGGGGTTTGAGTGCATGGTTTGCTTTGAAGCACTACCCAGGGACTGACGGATTCAGGGAGTCCAGAGGCCAACAGTCCCCATAAAAGCAGAGAAGCGACGTATCCAGTTTTTGGTGTCGCAGGGAGGGGAGGGATTTAAAAGCGAATGCAGCTTCGGGTTCATTCAACATGATGTTGGGGAGAAAAAATTTAAAGCATTATACTCACGGTCCCGACATTCTTGCTTGTACATTTGCAGCCATAATAGAAATACCAAAATGTCAAGCTTTCCGTGTGTACGTAAACACAGATGTGGTGCCCGCCAGCATATGGACTTCACCTTGCACGGCGAGTTAGCGCTCTAGTATGGCCTCTTTCCAGAACCTAGAAACTACGGACTCTTTTTCTTTCTCTTCTTTTTTCCCCCACTCAGGGCCTTTATTCAAGTTTCTCTGGCATGTTACATTGAATCAAGAAAAGAAAACATACAAGTAATTACATTATAATAGTTAATTAAACAGCTAGGTGAAAGGGTCCCATCTAGTGTTAAATTTAACAGAATTTAATAAATTTTTCCAAGGCATAATATCTTTTTAAATCGTCTCTAAACAGTACAGAAGAAGGTAAGCCCTCATTCATTTTCATTTTGTAGATATGAAAGCGGCCAAGCAAAGGAATTGAATTAAGTACACTCCTGGAATTATACGTAGTTGCAAAAAGGATAGTTTTGTTATCCAACTGCATCTGAATGTTCGACGTATTTTTCAACCAATCACTGATAAGGTTCCAAAACAAAGTGGAGGCCTCGCAAGTACAAAAGAGATGTAACAAAGTTTCACCCTCAGCTTGACAAAAAGAACACAAGTCGTTATCCCTTTTACCAATTTTCAGCAAATACGAATTTACAGCCAAGATTCTGAGTTAGTCTATATTGAAACCACCTCAGTTTGGTATCACATATTAAAAGAAGAGGTAGGCTACATAGATTCAACCATCCCGTGCGAAGAAGGTTACAAACCAACTTTGTTTCCCATCTATCAATAAACTCATGAACAACCTTCGTTGCAGAGGTAAGAATACGATAGACATGAGTAGAGCCTTTTTCATCCAACAAAAGTGACCTTAAATTAAAAGGAATAACAGGAAAGCATATATTGGAGTTGACCTGCGACAGAAAACAACGAAAAGATTTTTTAACAGTATTAATGACTCCACCATACTCCAAAATAATTTGTCTTGACGTCAAATTTTCTGACAAAATCGTCCAAGCTTAAAAAATGACCCTCACTGTCTAACAGGTCGCTTACAAAATTAACTCCTATTTAGCCCAGTGTTTATGAAATATACATTTAGTACCAATGTTAATGTTATGGTCATACCACAAAACATTGGCAAGTACTTCATTCGCTTGAGAAGCGAAATAACTCCAAGCTTTAAAACATTCATCCAAAAACAGTTTGGATGCCTCCCTCGCTGTAAAAAACGAGTAATGCTAAGATGGCCGCCTTCAATAAACAGAACATTCTGGATATCAATCATCTTATAAAACAAGGATATCCAGCCAGGGTTGTTACTATTCAGCAGTCTACGAATCCATGTACACTTTAAAGCTTTTATATAGAAACTTAAATCAACCATCTTTACACCGCCATGCTTGTAGTCTTGAATCATCTGATTCCTTGCGATTCTATCGACCCCCTCCAAATGAATTTATACAGCATACCGTTTAGATTCTTAATTATGTCGGGGGGGGGTCTGGAAGAGACAAGATCAAAAAAGTGAATTTAGATAAAATAAGAGACTTCACTATTGTGACTCGACCCAGAACCGTAAGGTGACCAGTGATCTACTACAGTGGCAGTAACATCTAACACTCTATTATAGTTCACTGAAATCATTTCATCAAGATTGACTATGAAATCAATACCCAAGGCTCTAAAACTGTCCTCAGGGCCAACCCAATGAACGTTAATATCCTCACAGAGGCGTTTCTGGCGCCCCTGTTATCACCAATCCACACGGCATTAGTTTTGTCAATGTTCTCCAGACTCTTAAGTAGCATCTGCATTCTTCCCTAAAAAGCGTCAGGAACTGCTGTTTTGGGTAGACCAAGTGGACGTAATGAAGACATGGCGTCCAATCAGGGTTACCGTTTTGGGTATCAAATTGAACCCTAGGACGTTATCTTTTCAAAGCTGAACTGATAATGAGTAGCAGAGATAACCTGAATTATATAAGACAGGTGCATTTTGTTCTGTCCAGTGGAATTGACTGCAACAACCAAATGCTATACATTCACGCCTTTTAACACCCTTTGACACATGGGATCATTGGAAAAGCCTGCAAAATGAGGATACTGAACTAAACAGCATTCTTTTACATGTTAAAAGTTCTTTGATTTTCCATCATTGAACAAACAGGATCCTGATATAGTTCAAAGTGGTAAATGCAATAATGTTTCCAAAGCAACTGGAAGCATCACCTTGTTACGAATTGACTTAGATAAATTACACAGGTTCCTCTGAAGCTGCTTTCTCTTAAACAAACTGATTAAAATCGGAAATTGCACACTTTATTCACAACCAATACCGTACCTTCTCAAATAAGCATCATTTTAAACACGTTTAAATCTAGAAAGAAATATAATTGCATGATAATTTGGGGATGATACACTCGCAAGATAAACTGTTGAAACTTCCATTGGCAAAACCAAATTGAGTTCTGTTACGGGTACGAAATTGCAAATATCTCCACAATCCATCATCGAATTTGAACGAAGTCTTCAATTTGGAAAAGATCACATCGTAAGCTTTAAGCAGATACTAAAGAACAACAATTTCTGACAATACATTTGGGAGAAAATAAAACTTCACTACACATAATGCAAGCAAACATTACAAGGAGATAGAAATCTTCAACAAGATTTCACCGCTAGAGAAAATTACCTACAGAAAACAGAGTTCTCTGTAAAGATATGCTTTTGTGTGAGGGACACTTTTAACAGCATCAGCATATGACAGATACATGAAAGCTGAAATTGTATATTTTGCCATTTAAAAAAAAAGACTTTTTCTAATGCATAGGAGAAAATGGTCCATCTGATACGAATTTAATTACGGAAGCTAGGAAGTAGGGCCCGGCATACAGTCGCGTTATTCGCTAACAGAATGTATTCAATAAAAAATAGAACTGGTATTGAAACCACTCGGTTTCATGTGACTTCAGCTCCATTTAAAAGCATGCTTTAATACTTCATTATTCATGTTCGGAGAACTATTAAGCATAGGCCTACTCCAGTTTTTAAAGGTAATTTGCCTGGCTAAAGTCGGAGCTATAGCTGGAGCGTACATAGACCAAGTTTAATTAATGCGAAATCCCCGATTGCAGTAAAATAATCTTTTTTAAATGACAAAGTAAAACAATATACAGAACAATGCCCACTCATAATCCGGCAATTACGAGTAAGTTTTATGAAATGGCGGTTCGGTAAATCACATTTTTGCCTGGGTGCTATGTTTTAGACTTTTCGGGCTTAAAGTATAAGAAGGCTAGACAGCTGCATTTGACGTCGGTTCGATTGTAAAGCTCTAGTGTTTCATTTTTTCAAGTTCGGAGAAATATTCAGCGTTTACTTCAGTTAAGCTCATTTTCCCGGCAAAAGTTGGAACTAGCTTGAGCGAACATCGACTGGTTTAATTAATGCGACAACTCCAGTTGCAGTAGCATAATCTTTTCAGATGACAAAGTACAAAACAATACACATGTACTCATGGTCCTGCAATTACAAGTAACTCTGATGAAATGGCAGTTCAGCAAAATTAAACGATAATTGCAATTTTACCTGGGCACTACGTATTAGACTTATCGGGCTTAAGGTATAAGAGACTGAACAGCCGGATTTGGAATTTATTGGCCAACACAACCCGAACTGAAGTAACCTCCGTCGTGGGATCACGTTTCTTTAATCTTGGCAATAGACTGTCTGGCTATTTTTCATTATGGAAACAGCCCGTTATCACCACAGCTCTCCAATCCCAATCTCTGCGATTTTGGCGGCACAATTTCAGGAGGCAGGTCATTGCTTCATTGCACGGGAGACAGCTGTTGGCGGAGAGTAGCACATGCTCACTTCGCGTACGGACGTCTCTAAAGGACAATAAAAAATAGAAAACCTTCTTAGTAGGGTGATCATGGAATTCTTTTCTTTCATTAGCATTTCCTTGTGTCATAGGTAAATATGAGATGTCTCAAAATGGCATGTAGGGCCTATATCAGAACCTTTGATTCAGGATTAGCGATTTCTCAAACAGTTTGAGTTTCACATCATGAGAAATTCGTCTGGAATTTAGTAAAAGATAAGAGGGGTCACTGATAGAAACGTCAGTTGCTTGTGACTGTTGCAAATCAGATTACTAAATTTGGGTTCAAATTATACCCGGGGTGCTTCTAAGACGTTGTCCCCATTATCTCCCATGCCCTTTCCCCCTTTGAATAACCCCCCACCCCGCCCACTATTATAGCCTTTATTCAAGTCAGCTTTCCCCCGCGTGTTGTGTAAACAAATATTTGCAACCAAGACACGGCTTCCAATCCCCCCCCGGCCTTACGTTTTGTTTTGATCCCTTTTGCGAGTTAAATTTAAATCAAATCTGGTACACCGAGTTCTTTAAATTCACGTAGACATAACATTTTGAACTCTCCATACTAAAGACACTAGTGCTATATACCTCGTGAGATGCCTTGCACCTATACACTGTTTTCAATGGACAGGAAGCGCACAAAGGAACCAGTCCATTCCAGAGATGGCGGTCGCTATGCAAAAGCTTGCCCCGAAAACGAGGAATAGCAACAGTGTATGAAGTCTGGAGAAATCAAATTGTTGTGTTTATGTGTAATCAGATAACTCGGTGTACCAGATTTTTATTTAAATTTAACGCGCAAAAGGCTCGGTTGAGCAAGGCGAGCCAACGAAGACAAATGCTGCCAGCTGCCAGTGTGGCATTGAATCTCTTTGCCACGAACAAACTGCGCCACTCAGAACATACTCTCGAGATCTGGTGTTGTGTGGGCCCGGTGTCCCGTCATGATTACTAGGAAGTGAAACCCGAACAAACCAATGACCACAGAAAGGCATACCACTTGGAATGTAATAGGCTACTCTAGTGATAAATGATGGTCCGGGAGTTAAAGGACCTGTGTGTTTCACGCGGATCTGGATCGCGATCAGTGATCCTAAAGCTGGTTCGAGCCGTGAGTCAGTGAACCAACGACAGATCACTGATCACTGATTGCAATATTAGTTTAGGTATTTTGACTTTAACACATTTAAAATATCGCCCAGACAATGGGCGTGGTTAGGCCTAGCCGGTGGGTGTATACGACTTCATTTCTACGACATCACCAAGTTAAGCTGCCCGTGTAAATTACGCGCCCATTGGGAAAACGTCCGAAGCCAAGAATTCGGAGAAAGGAAATTAAGACAGGAAATGGCGACATGCTACTACCGGAGTTTCAGATAAACAAACCGGCCACATACGCAGGTTTGCTGGAAAATACTAGTCATTTACTTACAGCGCCGTGAATAATCAATCCTTGCAAAAGAAGCTCGGGTGATGACGCAAACGCCATGAAAACAGAGGTAATGACAAAAGTGACAACCGATGAATACTACTCGTCTAGCATTCCGAGCAGAGGTAAATTAGCCTGGTTTCCATATGGTCGTTTGTAACGCAAACGGTCCGCACGAGACGCAGATATTCCCAGAAGAGACGCAGCGCCACGTCATTCCACCCCCCAAAAAATAAATAAATAAACAAAATGGCGTCCGAAACTTGGAAATTCAAACGCCAAAAAATACCTTTTTAGGTGGGAATGTCGCCTGTTGAAGCCAAACTGATGCTCTATAGCTTGATGTAATTTGTTAATGGTCAGCTATTTTGTTGACGATTGGGGCTGAATATGCTTGTAATAAGGAGAAAAGGGACAAAATGGATGGCCCTCGTACGTCCGTCATGACGATATGCGTGTTTGCATAGGCCGACTCAGCGACTCAACGTAGACAGTCGACAAACTCAACCGTTGTTTGCCGATCCGTCTGGGGCTGGTTTGCGTCATAACTTGTACTTGGTTATCGGCGATACTTCCGTTTGGCGTGTTTCCGTATGTCTGGGTTGCAGTTTGCCTCTTGATTGCGTTGCTCTCTGCGCTTCTTACCTCGATACGGAAACCAGACGCTTGACATACTGCGGCCCATTGTGGCTGTGGTGGCGTATATACGATACAAGCGAAGAAGGACGCTAGAACAGAATCGATTAAAGAATCCGAAATGTCATGTCAACAGTTCTGAGTCCATTTCTTTGGGATGTGCGATGTGACGTGAATTTAAATCTCGGAGTTCGGAAGGTTAAACCACCAGTGGTCACTCGCCTAGACACCTTTTCATAGGTCTATCCACTCGTTTTTGTTTTCATCGATTTTGTAGGGCAAAAATGTTGACAATAGTACGGATTTAACTCCCTTCCGGAGACCTAGAAATGCTATTATCATCTTCAGATACCGTCGCAATTATCGGAGCACGTATTTACATATGCCCTAGGCCTGCAACAAGTGTTCTATGAGATGATATGTATAATTTCTGTTGTTATGAACTAGTTCAATGGTGAATTCATTCCTTCGAGGATTATTAGTATGTAAGTCAGTGACTTTTACAGGCAAGACTAGAGATAACACGAATGGCATCCTCTTTAAGACTTTCTGTGGACTGGTTCCCGTCCTTTACGTAGTTTCCAGACGTCATACAGATGTCCTCCGAACGTACTAGGGACCGGTGGCGTGTAATGAAACCGACAGCATTCTGCCGGTTTTATGTTAATGGTAACGAAGCTCGCTCAATTTACGGTAGACGGGAAAAGAAGCTACACAGAACGACTTGCGTCATATGCATATATTATGCTCAGAAAGTGTACAGTACGTACCCTTATGCGTCCTGCATGCAGTGACGTACGTAGTAGCTGGGATTTTACTAGTGAGGGGGCACAAGGGGCCGGGGGCACCGGCATCTTATGAGGGGCACCAGCTTTCAGTGGTGTTGTTTTTGGGGGGCAAGTTTTTGTTAGCCTTGTTAATATCCAATTACCCGCTTTTTTTAGTGGGCGGGGAACACCGGGAATTTCTGGGGGCACGTGCCCATCAGGACACCCTGGCACGTCGTTCTACGTGGCCTCCTTTTCCGTCTACCTTCGATTTACAAATGAGGTAGGTGCTGATACTATATATATTTTGCCTTTTCTTCTTCGTTATTGAAAATAACTTCACCGTAAATGGCTTATTTATTTATCATTTAACAAAATACGCACTGGTTTGAAATAAGTTGCCGTGAAATAATTTATCTATGATATTCATTGAAAAAATAAATTACCACTTGTGTTTCATCCGCCTCACTGCTGGGACGTGATTCATGTTAAAGTTTGCTATCAGTTTGACAAAAATTAAAACATTCAGCCACCAAATTGACAGCGCTAATCGCATACTTTAAACTACAACTAGCTACCGGTCCCTATTACAATATAGTCCAAGAAAATTAGCATTCAACCTAGAACTAATCGCAATCAAAGGTTTTTCTTCAGAACGCATTTATGCTGTGTACCCACAATGACCAGAAAAAAAGTCCAAGCAAATCCGAGTTGCGGAAATAGATCTAATTTGCATAAATTCAAAATGGCCGTTCGGATTCGCTGGGACTTTTTTCTGGTCATTCTAAACAAATGCACTGTGAAGGAAAACCTTTTTTAGCTATTAGTTCTCGGTTACCCACCAAATTGCATTGTCTTTCCAGTCCTGGACAAACTGGGACTAGTCCAGCCTTTCTGACATGGTTTTTCACGGTAGTAGCGGATTGACCGACCCCGTCCGACATTGTGTGATAGTTGAGCGATAGATGGCGCCATTTACGTTTAGGCCTAAAATAGCGCACGTAGCGCGCGGCGGGCCGGCCGTGCAGCGTAGCAGTCAAGGCGACGCAACAGCTGCCTGTATATACGGACCCAGTCTCACAATACCACGCAAGAAGATTGCAAAATCTTTGCCCGGTCGGGGGGAATTCACTGTCGAATCAATAACGGTAAGGATTTTCAAAGTTTGAGGCCAATTTCCAGTGGTAAATTTGGCGAAAATTGGGGGAAGAGTTCTCATCATTATCACCCATTTTCGTGACAGTGAATTCGTGAATGCCAAAGGCCTTAGGCCTTTGCACAGTCGTGACGCCTCAGAGAGTGTTCCGAAGAGTCAAATTCAGCAGGGAAAATATAGAAGCATTTACTTAGACAGTACTGAGAATTTGTCGGACCAGTGTCGTTAGGCTTGTGCACAGAGTTGCCATGTATTAGAAGTTGAACCCTTTCCAAACTTGAGTGGCGGCATTTCATGCATTGATTGGCGGCATTTCATGCATAGGCATGTAATGGTGTGCCTGGGCCGAGCCCAAGACTGGGGGCCAGTCTACTTCACTCCTCCGTATCCTTTTTGGATTGACCGTTGTGGGGCCAAGGATACGAAGGGAGTCCAGTAGACTGGCCCCCAGTCTGGGGCCAGCCAGGCCTAGGCGTATATACATGTAGGCCCATAGAGGTAAAGTGTTTGTTGGGACATCGTCAGGCAATAACGTCTGTGACCATATAATTCGCCAGGTCCCATATTTTGCCACCTATTGTCAAGTCTGATTGGTTCTCCCAGTGGCCAGAAAGGGCCCTGGCCACTGTATGGTCACGGACGTTAGTACTATCATGGTACTATCACCTAGGGCTGAGTCAATTCGAATAATTTAGTATCCAAATAGTTGACCTTCAACCTTCGAATATCCAAATATTCGGTTGTACCAACTGGCAGTTTGTTGAGGAACAAACCATATACAAAATCAGTTGCAACAACGCACACAGTTGTACATTATAATCACTGTAATCGCTTGCCAGTCTATGAGTATCTCCAGCCATGATTTAGCAAGATTTAAGTGATAAATACTACTTCTTTTCCTGTTGAAAGTGTGTATTCCTTTAAATTTTTTAACCCTAACAGTCCCAAATCCTCTGATTACAATATGATTTTACATACACCAAGGGGGTTAGGGTTAATGAATAATGCATCATTGTAAGGTTTCTGTCGCTTTTCATTTGAATCTTCCTGGAGCAAGCCTCCATACTGCAATTTTTCTCATTTAAAACAAAAGAAAATTCTCCCTCCCTTTTCATGAAATTTGCATTCGAATATTCAAATTCAAAAATAATCTTCAAACATTCCATAATCAATCGAATATTCGGTTATTCAGCACAGCCTTACTATCACCCAACCATATCCATATGTTAAAATAGCAGTTTGCAGATCCGGAGTTACTCCGACCGGGTTGGGCCTTAGTATCATTTTAGAAGTCCAGTAACTCTATCCATGCCAGCCCCAATTGATTCGATGTCACGAGCATACATGTAACTTGGCTTCACTTAATGCATGCAGTGACCCACTTTACCAAACCATACTCTAGGCCCCTCAGCTATTTAGCACACCAATGTACGCACCAACAACGGAAATTCCACAGCTTTCATTGCACATAACTACCAAAGCTCCCTGGCAATCAAATTTGCACTTTGGATCACTTTGAAAACACTTGAAAATGAACTGCGGAGGAGAGGTATTGTCAAACCTTGAAATTGCTGACTTGAGCCTGGTCTGGATATTGTGGATTGCAAATATGGCCCAGATACCAGTCTACGTGTACCTTGGTATTTAGGTCGCACAGTCATTCAGTTGTCCTGCCAAGGACTCTGCCTGATTTGTGCAAACGGAGGTGCATAAGTTATAATCACCTGCATGATGCATCTGAATGTTGGGTGATTTTAGTGGGTGACACCACTGTTAACATAACATGGTTGAATTGTATATTTTGTGAGCACCAATGAACAAAGTTTCTCTTTCCCAGTGCCCAGCCTTTGTGTTTGTTTGCCAACAGTTGGTCAGAAGAGGCACCTGGACAGAACAGCTGTCAGCCCAGCTAGCAATATGGCCGATATGAAGCCCAAACGCCTGGCCTTGTGGACCCATCCAAGGTCCCTGTCCACAGCCATGGTGATGAGTTTCGCCAACTACGGCAGTGTAGAGGTCTTCTTTGAGATGTACGGAGGAGCGTTTGCCTTTGGGCCTGAGAAGAAGATGGCCACTCCAATGCCGGTACCCATGGAGGAACACCTGACGTTTGATGCGGTCAGGTGTCAGCTGGAAACAGCTTATCCCGAGCGCGACTTGGTCTTCATGAAAGATCATGCCCTCTCACTAGACGGGAAGTACGAAAGGCTGCCGGTGGGCTTCTGCCACACATTCCTCATCCGGGAGCCAGCCCAGACGGTGCTGTCCAACTACAAGATGGGCCTGCGGGGTGGCCTGTCCACCGACCAGTTCCTGCAGATGACGCAGCTGGTACTGGGCAAGACGCAAGGCTACAAGGAACTGGTGGAGCTGGTGGAGCATGTAGAGGGCACCCTCCAGCAGCGTGCAGTGGTACTGGATGCAGATGACCTCCGGCGTAACCCGGAGGGGATGCTGCGGGTGTACTGCCAGGCCGTGGATCTACCCTTCAGGGACTCGCTCCTGAAATGGGATCCCATCACAGAAATTCCCTGGAACATCCCGAAGTCATTGCTGGCCTTCAACCAAGCGAACGGGGCCTATGAGAATGCCCTCAAGAGCACCGGCTGGATCCCACCCAACCCTAACCCCCCGGATCTCAGCGACTTTCCCAAGCCGCTGTTGGACTTGATGGAAGAGGCGAGACCATTTTACAAAAAGCTTTACGCTAAACGACTCCAGCTTGCATAGCCTATGTGATGTCCAACGCCTTTAGCACAAAAAAGCAGGTGCATCAAGTTTCAGATTGTGTCTGTTGCTGGTGTCAGTGTCGACATGTAGCCCTTATACGTAAATTGATTGATCAGGTTTAAGTTTTGTTTAAACCCCAACTGAAATTTTCATTTATTTCTCTGAATACATGTTGGTCGTGCCCTTCGCAGGGTTCCAACAGGCAAATTGTAGCCTTGCCAAAGTTTATGATTCAAACTTCATGCCAGATCTTTTTGCACTCATGCTCTTTAGTGCAGTACCAAATGTAGTTTCCTCTCCAGATTCCTTAAGATTACAGCGACGTTTTGTAAATAATCGCCGACAGCGATAGACAGGTGGAACCCTGTACATATAGGTGAATCTGTAGCACAGGTAGTTCTCATTACAGGTAAGCTCCTGTCAGGTGTAGAGATCGTGTTGTGTAATGTGCTGTGTGTTTAGGTCAAGAACTATCAGTGCCACGTCACTTTATACTTGTGCATTGGGAAAATTGTAGCCTAAGTAGGGATAGTTGTTTATACATATTTTGATTTTTGGTTTGGATACTTCATGTATTTGTCAACCGGTTGTTGATGGTACCCGGGATATACATGTATTGAGAGTGCAGGTTGCTAGAGAAAATCCACCAGCAGTCGACGAATAATCAACGCTCAAACTCACCTTATGGTGTAGTGTTGTGGTCAAGATCTCTTGGAGCCACCACAAGACCAACACAAGGCCTCCTGTCTGAATTCCCGTCACAAGACATTCAAATCAACTGCAACAAAAGTATTCCTTTTGTCAGTGTTGAGCCTGTTACTTGCGACTGGTCTCGTGTCTGGTGTTGTGATGATTCTTGGCTACAACACTGCTGGTGTGTCAGGTATGAGTTTGTTTCTGCATTCAACTGGGGACCCTGAACAATAGAGGACAATAAGGTCCCCGATTGACAGAAGGTCCCCGATTGACAATTGTGTACAAAACATATGGGTGGTCTTCTAAAGAAGTTAAAAGTACAAACAAAAGAGGAACAATACAGGGTCCCCTGTTGCAGGCAAATACACACTTGTGTGTGTGTGTATATGTATGCAGAAATCTCTGCATCTGTTGGGTACAAAACAAAACTGAAATTCCAAATTTCTTCATTTTACAAGAGGCGCTTCGTTCATCGCCTTTGGCCCGATGAGAAAAGTGTCATGTGCCTTCATACTTCATAGAGCACTATAGTTAGTTCAGTGCACACATAGTTTTTATGAAAGAGTGTTTGAAAGCCGCACAGTTTCTGAGACGTGAATGAAGTCTCTCGGATACTGATATGCTTTGTCTTGATGCCTTCCAAAGGGGCTTTCACCTACCGCCAAAATGAAATTATCAGAGAAGAGCCCTTGGATATTGTCAACATTATAACCACAGGGTTTCCACAACCTCTTACACATAGACTGTTATCATGTGTGTGGGTATTGAGTCTGATCTCATGTAAAACAAGGTTCCCCAAATCTCAGGTCTGAGACCAAATGGCCACAGATATTCTTTAAGTGCATTGCTTAAGAATTACACGCACAATTGGAGGGATACGGGGCCATACTTTTGTAAGAGAAATGTTAAATCATGGGTTTAGAGCAGAAAATGAGAGCTAAAGTATGCCAGAAGTGCTTTCTTCAAACAATTTTGAGATCTTATTTTTAACTGTTAAATTATCCACCAGAGATGAATTAAATGAAATTTTAATGTCAAAAATGTCTCTGGAATTGTGAACCATAATACAGAGTTTAATAGAAGACATTGCACGCCACACTGTATGAAATATTTAAACGGGTCATTGATGAAGGTCTTCACCTCTAAAAAGCCCATGCCACTTTCATATATTTTACCAAAATTAAATCTATCTATGTAAATATAGCAAGAACCAAGACCAAACTCAGACCCAGACAATTGAGCAGTCCTAAAACTTCAAGTTTTTATTTACGTACACGAGTAGTCACGGTAACGAAATGGGCTGCGAAATGTAGTAGGTGTTCAAATAGTTATTTTTGTATAAAACTAGAAACCAATTTTTTTGTTTTATAGAGATATGTTAGCGCTGTGTTTATTTATTTTTATTTTAATGTGATATGTTGTGGAGCAGTGTACATGACTTGGTACAGGTACTTGGTCATTCATCATTTTTTAAACAAGTGTAGTCGGTGCGAGTCATTGGCGTTACATGTAATATGTTTCTTCTCATAAAAACCCTAAAACTTAAACGTAAAATTAACAAGATAAATACGTGTGTAAACAGTCTTCAGATCTTATATCAAGTTATAGAAAAAAATGTGTTAGAATACTATGTGAAGAAAATATACAAGTTATTCTGAAGTCAGTATATGTTTCTTTTTGCGTGTTTCTGCAATTTGCGCATGTCCAACACGAGATGTACTTTTGTCCATAGAGTTGTTTAGAAAGAGCTTAACCAACGTTTGTGTAGAGGTGCTCGAAACCTCATTAGCAAAGATAGTATGCCATTAGCCTATTTGAAGTATGGCGGACACAGTAAGAGGGCGCTATTTGAATCACCTAGCTACGGCCGGAAATAACGCACGAGTCTACGGCAGTGACTGCAGCCAGTTCCCATTAAGTCGTGTGTAAATTCCGGCCGTAGCCAAGTGATTCAGACACGGCCTGTCTGTGAAATTTAACCACCGGTCCTCCGCGTACAACTGTGATTTTGAAAAGTACGGAAGCGAAGCAATGGATGGCAGCGCGTTTAGTGCGCATTACGCGCAAAGCACTTAGATTGCCCGTAAAATTGTGGGTAAAATTTGGCCAAATAAATTTACCCACTTCAAATAGCGCCCTCCTGTTGTGTCCGCCATGCTTCAAATAGGCTAATTGCTAAAATTTGGAGAACTGTTCTTACTTCCTGTCTGCTCATGCTTGCGCATTGAGATTTTGCGCGTTTTCAAACGGGCAAGCTACATTATACAGTCGGACCTCCATAATAAGAGCACTTTTAATAAAAGAATATTTTTCTATCCCAGTCCTTTGTTCTTCCTTGTTTTCATTCCTGGTAAGGCAAGGTTCCTGTTATAAGAAGACAATCAGCGAAGTCCCAGGACCTATTACTAATGAGGTTCGACTGTTTGTAGCAAAAAAGATCACATTTGTAATATTTCTACAAAATCAAATTCTTACGGGGTTAGCAATAGCTGGACACTGCGTCAATCCAGTCTGTGAGACAAGGCGATCAGCAGCGCATCTAAAACCAATTTTTCTTGGGGGGGGTGGAAATTCCTCTATGTAGGCCTGGTACAACTTATTGCTTTTCTGAACGGTGAGGCCAGATTTGCTGCATTTTACTCGCTCTGGGGAGGAGTAATGCGAAAATGCCCCAAAAACGGCTTTTATTAAAAAATAAATTGCCCCTTTTGTGGGATAAATTAGGCCTATATGGTCTCGCCCTTGATCCACCAATACAAATGATAAACAGTAGGCTGCTACCGACGGGCGGTTCATGAGTAAGCCGATTTCTTCCCTGTGAAATCATACTACAAGTGTAATGGAACAGTATTGAGACGCCGATGGCAGCATACATGCCTGTCCTTTTGTCAGGAGCATGCGCGCGTGGTTCTGGGCATGCGTGCTTGTTCATGAGAACGAGCAAGGCTGTGAATGAGGATCAGGATGGCTGTTGCCACCAGCATTCTCCCAATACAAACTGTCATTTTAAAATCACATTGGAAACGAAACTGCGATGCTAACTTACTAATTAAGGAAAAAGATTTTCTACAGACGGTTTGCATGGCTGCCTGTTGCAGGCCAGTGCTTTTGTTCAACAGAATATGCACAAAGGAGGCTTCCTCGTCGAACAAAAGAAATGCCCTGCAAGATGGCTACCACGCAAAGCCTCTATTTCTTCCCAGAATACCATAAATGGAGCAGTAAAGTGACTGGTAGAATCTGTACGACGCTAACTACCATGAAGCCGGCAACGTAGCTACCCAAGATGTCGTAGAACAACCCTGTAAATGAACCACAATATCGGTCGGTTGATCAGAGCTATACAATGTGTTTCTGAACATCTTCCAAAAAGGACCTTGAGATGCTTGGAAGAACTCCACAAAATAATTGTTTCGATGGTGATCGTGAGGTGGTTTTCATCTTTACGTATTAACTGATCATCTTTTACTCTGTCTCAAAGAAAGCAAACTTCAAGGGAGACTTTGTCGAGACAACATACCTGGAAGAAATCCCAGCATGAAATTAAACATTCCAGATAGTAGCTTTTCCCAACCAAAAGCACCAACCATCAACTCGACACCGAACGTCTGCCTGATCAATACGTCGACCTGGACACTGACGACGCCGAAGCAGAATCCAATCAGAAGGGTTGACGTCATCATCGCCCAGTTTGAAGTCAGCAAGGGACTTGCGCAGTATGATGCAGAACACACGACCATCGTTGTGGTTGTCAGACTCCAGGAAGATAGCACTCCGCGGTCATTAAGGGGCCCCTGCGCGATAACGGCCAACAGACCACCAATGCCCCCGAATGATACAAACCATCCAGCCTCTGTGGCGGTAAACCCGTTGGACTGAGCTGCCGATACAAAGTAAATTACCCACATGCCATAAGCAAATTTAGTACTAGACTTCACAACTGTAAGGTCCCAGAAGCGTGCATCGATGAGCAACTCTAAACTGAAGTCTTTGAGGAGGATTTCTCTTGATGTACAGCAGAAGTGTCCGAAATTAGTCCGAGGCATTGAGGAAATGGGCCCTGTCTGGTCAGAGAGCCTCCGGTAGCCTGCCTCCTCTGATACATGGAGAGCAGCCTGAGGTGAAGTGGCAAGGAAGGCACCAGGTGCAACAGTGTTAAAGCACAGCCCGCCCAAGAGCAGTAAGGTCCCGCGCCATCCGTACGTGTCCAGGAAAAATTGAGTCAGTGGCGGCATAACAAGCAATCCCACGAAGGTACCAGACTTGGCTATGCCAAAGGCAGTTGCGTAGTTCTCATTAAAGGTTCTACCGACGGCTTCCTTTGCAAGAACGTTCGACACTCCTATACCCAGACCTGTGCAACGAAAAGGTTGGTTTGTATTCATGCTGGGACTGAATCGGTTATGATTCGTTGGAATTACAGGGCGTATCAAAATAAAGGAAACCTAAATCCAACTATAATTTATAGGAAAACTGCAGATTTCTTAAGTAAGCATTATGTCTCCAGAAAGGCCTGAATGTCTTCCTTCCAGTGACACCTTGATCATGTGCTCAGTGTCACATTTGAACGAGTAACAAGACATTCTTGACCAGCAGGGGACCTTTGCACTGAGAAGTTAGCATACTCTGTACAGTAAATGATGCACATTTGAGTGTGCTTAGGCCAACCAAAAACAAGTGCTTTTGAAGGTGTGCGTATATATGCTAACTTGTCACAGTGCAAATTTAACAGAGTTATACAGCGTACAACTTAGGCTGTGTACTGATATAATAGTGATTTTGCCGACGTACCTGCCAACACGTAGAACAATGCCAGCTGTAGAGTCGTTGTTGCAAATGATCCACCGATGAGGCCCACGCCGATCTTGGTAACACATACCGTCACTACGACACCAACACCAAATCGTCTTTTCAATATTCCTGAAAACAGAGCTATGATATAATAGAAAGTATAACAGAAACCTGAATATTTGCAAGGGCTTCCGAATCCCAATCGGCCCTCGGACGATCCAGCGTGGTTCTGATGATGTTAATAACTTCAGTAGCCACGGGTTAAAAAAATTAATGCGTCTGTGGTCTTATAATTTTTATACACTGGGCATGTACATTTTCTCCACGAAAGAAAATTACATGTACATAAACTAGAGAAGAGTGCTGACCCAGACCCTGAGTGCCACACTTTTTTTTTATCTAAGACACTTTTACAGATTTCTTACCACAGTCATTCACTTATCTCCCCTTCAATTTACCATCATAATCTTCTTGAGATAATCCGTCGGCCATTTTTTAAAGTTGGCACCGAACTGTGTCTATCTGCATCATGTCTCAATCATTGATCCAAACCATCTCTTTTACTGTTTCTTAACCTGAGACAAGAAAGCATGCCACACCGTTTCAGATGCAATCCAGGTCAACAACAAGAAAATGATGCATGCTTTCCCTTTTGCTCTCAATTAATAAGGTTTTACCCAAACAAAAAATGTTGGTACACCATCCATTGACAGGATGCTGGTCACCACTGGGGCTTCTGTACTGATGACGCCATGGTTTGTGTCATAAGTGCTGTCCTTTGAAGGAGCTATCTCCTTTGAAGCTCAGTGGACCGTGGGCCCCTTCGGCTCCCTGATGGCGCTGATGTAAACAAATTAAATGTGGCAGTAGATAAAATCATGGAGGAAAGTTTTATTCCTCCATGATAAAATTCACCTCACCAACGCAGAGCCAATTTTGTAATAATCATTGAAAGTGTGGCCTAATGGCTCACTTTTCTATACCCATGGAGATAGAATATTCGTCCACTTTGCTTTACCATCTGGGAAAGGGTTGCATTTCTGCTTAAAACCACTTTCGCCGAAAAAATGGATAGCTTGTTGGCCATTCCCAACTGCACAGGTAA